AATGAAAAGTCTAATGAAAGTGGAAAAACATGTATAAGATAGCATACTGTGGATCGTGCTGCTGTCAACCTGCACAAACTACCATGTTTTTTGTTTTCTAGTGCTCTTTTTCAGTTCCACGTGGAACGCCAACATGCCAAGTATATATGCAAAACATATAATATTGTCGGTCAGTGGTTACAAACAGTTGTAAGGATTCGAGGTGTTAACAAACAGATAGTTTGGCCGCGGAGTAAAAAATACTGTATGCTAGGATGAATGAAAGAGAACTGGTTACGTGGAATGAAATGGAACACATATTCTACCAGTAATATAATTGCCCGAATACATCGTTCTGATCGGACAAGAGCGTGTTTTTACGTAAATAAAACACATTAGGGAAAATCCTGCTGCTAACTGAAATCGACAAAACTAATATTATACTATAGGGACATAGAGCGCAATGCTCGAGAGTGGTTGATTTTTGACAATCCACTCTATGTCTTGCACTCGCGTCAGTAGTGACAATATCTCTTGGTATATCCGCTTTCTGCACCGGTTTATTGTTTCAAACATACTCTGGCCGATCGACATTCTCATCCACGCATACACATCGTGCTGGTTTCCAGAAGCACATTTTAACATCGATGTGCATTTGAGTACGTCACATCCGCGATTATCGCTACTAACACATGACAAGAACAAACGAAGCGCATAATTTGCATTTACTTTAAAATGACAAATTTATAATGAATAATGAATATCTCCCGGGAGTGATGTGCCAGGCTGTTGCAATGTGACATAAAAGCACCACCCTCCGCACAACGAAAACTCTCGAATTCATGTAAGTCAGGAATAGTATCCTTGGTGTGACAATTATTCACCAAAGATACTATTCTTGAAGGAGAGTAGCAAGGTGAAACCAGAGTTACGAATATTTGTATTTTTTTTCTTTCAAAACCAGTTTATATTTGTTTAGCATTTACTTTAGATTCGAACGGAAAACGCTCCTCTCTCTCGATTCTTTTGTTGGAACGCGTGTCTCAGTAAAAATTTAAAACAAAGGGGAAATAGCATACTCCCGACGTTGCCGCGATCGTAATTTGCTGATAATCACATATTCGACAATTCCACCCATTGGGGTTTTCTATGTTTTTTTCCCCTAACAAATCTTCTCGATTTATACAGCAATGTCAGGATTTAGTATGAATAATAACACCGCAATAAAAATATATATATATATATATTCAGATTAAAACTGCACTATGAAACCATACAACTTCCTGGGTCGTTTTCACCGCCACGGTCAGAACAAAAATCAAGATGGCCAACATTGCTATTTGGGAGAAAAATGTCTGCAAACTTCAAGAAAATGAAACTAACATTGTTTGAACTGTCATAGTTCTTTCATAAAAGAATCGCATATTCTAATTCACACAGATTATAATTCAATGTGCAAAACAAACTTGTGAAACGCTCAGAGATGAATTTTTGGGGTACAAAATTTCGTCGCCATGTTGGACATCAGTAGACGCAGTTTTACGATCGCTCTACTGAAACGATGAACATTTTCTACAACAGCTTAGTCTTTAACTTACAGAAATTATAACAATGTAAAGTATAAATACTTATTTAACAATGCGTTGTACTAAAATATAATTCCATCCAATTATTAGCAATTTGTGCAAAGGCAGGCATTATGGCTGACATCGATAACCTCAACACAAAAGCGTTATTTTCTAATTGAAACTAGTTATGATAATCGCAGTTCCGCATTAAAATATCTAAACAATAACGTTTTAGCAAATAATAACATTTTCAAATAGAGTTTTAAGGGTTACAAATGTCATGGTAAGTTTCGATTTACACACTACAAATCTGTCAACAAGACAAACTATTGGTATTTTGTGTGTACAACGAAAACTCAAATATCATTCGCACAGAAGTATGTTTCTACGTCGATCTTTCGACTCAATGAGCTCTATTTCTTCAATTTTGTGGACACGCATAAGCAGTGTAGGGAGATAGCAATATAAGCGATGACGTCATAGTGGTTGAACACGAAATGAATGGATAATTAGCATATTTAACAGTATAGTTTCCTAACCGTTCTTTCAGTAACCGTGGTGTAAGCGAGTATTGTGTTGCTAGCCTGACAGGGCATATTGTGTGACGTATCATACAATTGCATAATGACATGTACAACATTCAAACAATTCAGTGACCCGTATCTCGCCCTCTATTTGATTCAAAGGCACGTGACAATAACATACGTGATATTAATACCAAATTAACCACAAATATTTTTTAAACACACGAGAAAATTATTATCTTACGTATCTAATTATAATTGCTTTTCAATTGTTACCATTACATATACCGCTACCAGGGTTGAATTTCCATAATGATAGTTTTCAAAAAACTGAATCCGCGATCTACAACTAGTAAAATATATATTAACCAACACGATTTTGTTCAAATAGATCCCAAAACTGCATGCTGAATATATTACTAATCATATAATGTAACGCCATGGATAGTGGATTTATATTTTGAACAACTAATGTTTACTTACACTACGTACCAATGTTTTGTTTAACTGAAATACCCAGACCATCTTGAGCGTCGTTTACGGTTGTTTTCTGTCTTTAAAAGTTTACCAACTTCGAGAATAGACTCTCGCTCAAATCTTAATGAATTTTTTTTATGTTACGTAAACATTGAAGACCCAAATAAAGTTTGAGAAGAGACTTCTATACTCTAATTCCGCACTGCGTCATCAACAAAGGGACGAGTTGTTAAACATGGCGTGTAACAAAGCACTCGCGCATGAACGAACAATTGAGAAAGCTATTTGTCATAGGTCGGGATGCGGGTCAAAACTTTTATGTTAAGTAGTACAGGACTACGACACTTCGATGTAAATCCTATACGAAATGCAGGATAATAAATAATAAATCAGCAACTGGTAATACATCTCGCCGAGAGAGAACTGTAACATTTTCCGATGTCTTAAACGTCACAGAAGCATTGGTAATTGTTGTTGTTACATAGAGATTTCATAATCATATCGTTTATATTCGTTGCTTTGTTTCGATGTAGAATCTGGGACGCGTTGAATGTGAAATTGATTTTCTATAGCGCAGTTTAATCTGTCTGATGAAACGTGCAAAACTTACTTCTTTCAACCCAACAAAGAATCGTTAATATATAAAATGAGAGCATTTAAATTTCGAGTTGACAAATCAAAATGTTTATATTCAATCTCACCGAAGCGAAAAAGAAAATAAACTTTTTTTGAATGAATTTTAGTACGTCAACAAATCGCGATTCCAATATTAAAGCCAGTTCTTAGTATTATACACTCATGTTACAAAGAGAAAATGATACAATGTTGATTTCTATGCGATATTGACAGATTTGTTTTGATCTTCAGACCATTGTGCCGTTGACATCGTGGAGTTCCTTTGTGATTT